CGCTGGTGTCGCACGGCACGCCGCTCTGCACGTCCCCACAGTCCAGGTGGAGCTCGGGACACCAGCGGCCTTCAGAAGCGGAAAGGCCCTTGTTCAATGCTGACAGCCGATCTCCTAACAAGTGAAGATTAATGTCTCATCTAAAAACTAAGGTCTCCTAAGTGCTGTCGGTACAACATAAATGCGGGGAGCAGGCAGATGCGTCCCCTGCCACTCAAATCTGGATCGTGCGGGTCCTGTAGAAAGAGCTCACAGCACAAGGTGTTGATGGCCACATTTGTCTGTGTGTAGTCCTCCCTGTCGGTGAACCTGGCTCCTAAAAAGGCTGAGTCTCTGAGTCTGTTCCTCCGCGCCTGTAAGAAGTGCCGCGACTCCCTCAGTCTATCTGCACCCTCCCTAGTGGTTTCTGGAATATTCCAGACTGGAAAAAGGCTGAGCTGCTGGCTCCAAGGCCTAAACTCTGAGAGTTCACACAGCGCTGCCAATGGACTGTCCGGGGACTTAGGCTGGGAGTGGAGGGAATGGGAGCCCACGGGTCATTTTATGATCCCAGGACTGCTCCTCCGAGACTCTGGAGGTGAAGGCAGCTGTCTCCAAAAAAAGCCTAAGGCGGATTCTGAGACCAGTCCTGAAGCCTAGGACTGGGGCTAAGTTGGAGCTCAGGGGAGGGATCCAAGGGTCTAGAAGAGAGTGGGACCCAGGCTTTCCCAGTACCTCTTCCAACCCCAGAAAGCCACTTGAGATTCGTTAACACGCGCGGTTGGAGTTCTCCCCTCCCCCAGGTCCAGGGAGCATAGACTTGAGGAGGCACTGAAACCAATGCTGCAACCTTTTTGGAAACCTGGCGCTCTCAAGAGCTCTGTGCCCGAAACTGACACCCGCAAGCACTCCCCGGGGGCCTGTTGGGCAGATGGAGTGGCAAGGCCAGGCGGGGCCTGTTGGCGAGACACCGGGACATTTGTCATGGGTGACCCTGCGCCTTGGCTTCTGAGCCCACTCCGGCGTGGGGAGACCAGCACTAATGTAATAAAGCGAGAGCGACAAGAGGAAAGGCCTCTCTCGCCCCGGGGCCGCCACATGCTCACTCCGTTTTACTGTCAGGGCTGGTCAAGGCTGTGCCTTCATTTCATATTCCATTAATATTTACAGCAGCTATTGAATTTCCCATTACAAAGTTCACCATACACAGTGCTAATATGAAATTTTAATAGTATTGTGCACATTATGAAAAGTCCCGCCATTAAAAGGGGAGGGGGAGGATCGCAGGGAGAAGTTACCCTGAGAAGTTACTAGCCACTGAACGCTGGAAACACTCCCAAGGCGGGGGAGATGGGGGTGGGGTGGGGGAGTCTACTCATTTGCACCTATTATCATAAAGATGCGAAGCAGTGGCTTGTTATCAATATTGAAATCAAAAGAGAGGGAGGAAGTGGAACGTAAAAATGCAGGCTGACTAAATTGAGTTTTCCAAGTTGTGTGTGCCGGGCTTTGCCCTCACTTAGAGAAAATGATTCTGTTCTCATGCTTTGTATGAGGTGTGTGACGGACAAGGTAGAAGTTGTCCACGTTGGCTCGGGTTCCAGCAGTTCTTGGTGGTCCCTGGGGCTGTGCAAGGGCAGGTGTGCCTTCCTCAGATTCTGCCCCCTTCCTGCCAGCCCCCAGGGTCCTCAAGGTCCGAAAACTGCCATCCTGCCTGTGGTTCCCAGGGAACAAACTTGGCTAAGAGTCGTGGGAATAACCTATTTCTCTGCGTGGAGTTCAACTTTACCGGATTGATGTCTTAGGAGCTGCACTGGGCACCCCAAGCGAAGGCCAACTTGGGGTGAAAAAGAATGGAGACCCAAGGGAAATGAGGCTGCCCAGGGAAGTGAGGCAGAAAGTGGGGGGGATCTAGAGCCTGCAGCTCAGGTTAGGATTCCCACTTCTGCCTCCCTCTTCTGCCTCTGGAGGGCTGCTTACGAGGGTCAGATCTGCTACAGCTTCCGGCTCCAATTGGTAGCTCACCTTCTGGCACCCAGGAGCAGAGCACACCCCTCTGCTGGAGGGCTCCGAACAGAGGCAAATGGGTCAGTTCTCAAAGGTACCCTTCTCTGCTTTTCCCAGATGACCAAGACCTTTGTACGGCTGCTAGACGGTGTCACCAGCTCACTGGGTGGCAGCCTATGGGGTGTGAACTCTCCAACTGTTTGACTTCCTAAAACACCCCAAGTTTCTTTGAAAATATCATCTGGTCCTGCAGAGTGGGCAGATAAAGTAGAAGGGACGTTTCTCTCCCCCCCTCCTTTTTGGTTGGGGGGGCGGGGATAAACTGTCTGCACTGAGCTTTCTCGCTCTCTATCCACCCACCCTCGCGCCATCCCTCCTCACTCCTCCGGGTGTGAATTAATGGCAGTACTGCAATTCTTAACAGGCTTCTATTTCTGCAAGGAAAGGGCAGTTCCTGAAACTTCAGGTTACTTTCTAGCTAAAGGAAGACGCCGGTGACAGAAGGTAAAGATGGGTGACAGTTCTTCAGGATGATCTGCTGGAGACACCACCACTCCCCTTTAAAATGTATTACTGTTATTACTATCCCCCATATTCTTGTGAGTTGCGAGTGTGTGCGAGTGTTAAAGCCCCTAAATGTGTCACACTTTGTCACATCCTCTGTGTGTGTTTTTAGAGAACCTTTGAATGAAAGGCTCGATGCCAGGTATTGGTGACACAGGGGGTGGAATTTTCAGCCGTTCCACAAAGAGTTGGCCGCCTCTATTTGCATAAGGTCAGAGTAGGGCTTGTGGTAGAACTTCACCAGCATCTCTGTCTCTTAGCAACACTCTTGCACTCTTGGTCCCTGCATTAAATTGACTGGTCCCTTCCTTTTCTTCCTTTCATTGGGAGGCTTACAATAAAATGTCACCCTTCCAACCTGTGCCTGTCACCCAGTAGGTCATCTGTATCTCCCCCCCACACACACACACATTTTCCCTCCCTCCCCTTCCCCTCTCCTCCTCCTCCCCTTTCTCCAAAGCTCCAATTAGAGACTGAGAGGATTCACTGGGTGAAATCCCAAAACTGTTTCATTTTATGGTGTTAATTAATATTAATACCACTTCTCCCTTTGTTATTAATTTTAAAAATCCCTCGTAAACAGGCAAGATAAGGAGTAAATTGCCATCACCTGCCAAACAATGGGTTTGGAGAGGGGCAATAAGGCAGATGGAGAAGGAGGGAACAGGGTTTAGTCTCTACACCATTCAAATGGTGAGGGGTTCAGCACAGCCTAGAAACCCTGGAAGAGCTTGGACTGTGCCAGGCAGCCCTCTTGGCTCTAGCATGGGGACCAGTGACAGGATCCAGATGCTGATAGGTAGTGTTAATGGAGGGTCACGTCTAGACAATAGTATCCATCACTTGCCTCCTGGCTCTTCTGTCAGCTGGAGTCATTTCTGACTACTCCATCACTCAGATTTAGGATAGATTCAATTATTACCTTCGCCTTGGCAACAGGATACACAAATTGGTACCCAGAGGACCAAACAGTAATGGTGATAGTTTTTATTAGCAGTTCTTATTATTAGCTTACTGTGCATCTTTTTCTTGTTAATTTTGAAAGAGCATCCTCGATATCTGATGAATCCTTTCCTCTTTTATTCCATCAACAGTTGCCCAGAAACACAACCCCACCGGATAATGGTTGCTTGATTAGTATACAACACACACTTTTGAAAGCCTGGATGATTTCTACTGATATGTATCATTTTATCGGTTGTGCAAATGAGATACTTTCTGAATTCTCTACCATTTTTGCAGTAGGAAATGTCTGTCTATAGACCCTGTTTTATAGTGCACAATGTTTCTCGCCATTTGAGAAGTGCTTATGCTGAATGAAAGTAGAAGTTGTATCTGAGATGGGGGGGAGTATGAAGAGCCCTTGATACGTTTTTTTTTGTTCATAAAGCTAAGAATTTATTAAAGTAAGTGGAGTTTTAAAATCGTAAACAAAACTGAAGATGAGGAAGTCGCAGTAAAGAGGCTAAACTTTCATTGAATCATTGAATTCACCTCTTTCCCCTTGGTCATAGAAACTCTCACACACACACACACACACACACACACACACACACACACATACTTCTTAAAGGAACAGTTAGTTTTCTGAAACATATTACTCATCCATTTGAGTGTCAGGAATGGTTAGATATACACCCAGCTTTCCCTGGTATTTTTACAACCTCTTACCTCTGCTTTCTCCTCTCCTCTTTATGGCTTACATACCCTGTAATTCTTGTAACACATTCCCCCGATAAATGCGCAGGTAATGGGGTCTGAGCAATGCACCCAGGGTTAAAAGTCAACCAGCTCCTCTTTAATAATTCACAAGTCATGTTTCTTCCATGATGTCAAGTTTGCTAAGGAAGATAGACAAGGTGAGGTCAACCACTTGAGTTTGTTATTCCAAATCTCAGAAGAGAAGAAGACTGCAAAAACTAGGGCCCCCCCCCCAACTCCTTTACCATCTATACTTTTCTAGAGGGGCTGTTCTTCCCTTGCGGACCATTTTTCCAGGGCCTCAGCAAGATGTTTGAAATGTTTGCAAAGGTTGGGGTGAAGGGAGCATCTTGGGAGTTTTCCCATACTCATTGATTCAAGTTTACAAAGTCACCCACTTCCTGCTTCCATCATATAATTCCCAATGGCTTCTTCTGCTCATCTAATTCCCGAGGTAAGACCTCCTCAGCAAGAGCCATTTCGTTTACAAGGATGGCTCCTACTTTGACTTTCTGTAGGTGACCCTTCTTCATGGAGTGACGAATTTTCTTCCCAGAGGCATAACTGTTGACAAGCTTCCACAGTCTCTGACTTAACCACCACCACCACCCATTTCTTTCCTTTCTAGAAGGATTTGAGGAAAAATCTCAGATGCATGCCTCTTTCAACCGTTTGTCCTTTACAGGAAGAGAGAAGGACGCAACGCATAGACAGAAACAGGAAAATAAAAAAGTCCATGGATGTTAAAGTGCACTGGAGTTTTATTCTGAAGCATCAATTGAAACAAGATTCCATATTGAAAGAGGGAAGGAAAACTATGAAGAGGGAGGTGCCCCTTTGCCTTTCCTAGATGCACAGAGGGTCAGGGAGTACAACCCCAGCCTGGCTCACATTGCTCTATGGCCCCTGTTCCTCTCTGTGATATTTCAGGATTCACTTTTACGCGGACCATGCCGAGGAAGTAATTTCGTTTACATTGTTCCCCTCACAACCATTTCAAAACCAAAATATTGAAGGAACTTTTTTGACAGAGTTTTTAAAAATTATTTCATATGCTACTTATTTAATGAGAAGAACCACAGCCTTTTAAAGATTTATTCGGCAGTAGTAAGCACACTTTTTTTTTGAGAACAAACATTCTGCATTTGTTCAGTTCTGAAAGATTTCTAACAAAATAACAGGGGAGAAGAGAAGCAAAGTTTTCTCTTCATGGTCCAGTTATCGCTAGTCTTATACCATGCAGAGGAAGAAGTAGCACCCTTTACATTCATTCACCTTATAACTTCCTTGTTAGTAAAAATCATGTTTTGTGGTATGTTTACCCCCACCCTCTTAGTTTTGTGGCTATTTAATTTTAATATCTATTTCTGTGGTAGTTATTCAGCACACAATGGATAACCAGGGCATTGTTTCAGACTCAGCCCTAGCCACAGGAACCTTCTAACCTTCTCCAACCGACCGTTGTCAGACCTTAGAGGTGGGGATCTGCTCCACGCTGATTCAAGTGAGTGGCAAAGCTCTAGGGAGAGTACAGATAATTCATATTTATCCAAGTGAGAAACACTTCCACAGAAACAAAGGAAAACGCATCAAGTTCTGAGAAGAAGAAGAAACCAAAAAAACTTGGGGTGATTTGAGAAAGAAAGTTGAGAAAACAAAGTTAGAAGGCACTGTTTTGTTTGCAAGGGGTGGGAATCTGGCAAAATGTTTCCAAGATCTGGTCTTTTTTGAAACCACAAACTTTTAAAACCTATGATTCTTACCACTTCTCCAGTTAAAGAAGAACCTAAAAGCTTCAGCTAAGTTTAGTTTTGTTTGTTTGTTTTTTTACCAAGCAGGACACAGGAAGCCTGGAAGCATTTGTGCCCTAAGCTATGAATCTACAGTGTATCTGCTCTTTCTGTCTCGATTATGGAATTATTTAAGATTGCTCGTGCTTTTACTTCCATGGATTTTTTTTTTTTTAAGAGGGAGAGGGAGCTGCAGTTTCTTTGTAACCATTTGCACAGTGCCCTGAGTATTACTGTTTGTCTATTTGGGGCTTCAGCTGAGCTGGACCCTTCAAGCAAATGAGTTTGGGGGGGGGGCAGGAGGCACAGCTGGCTTTGACAACTACCAACTCTGCCTTTCTTGGCAAGGATTCTGAGCACGGAGTTGTGATAAACATATTTCACCTTTTGTATTACAAGGTTCCTCGCAAGTCCCTTCTCCAGCACTCTCCAACTGAGGGGGCATCCTCAAATCAACCTGAATTCTATAAGGTCCACCCCTAGCTGGGGTGTTTATTTTCTAGTAGGGGTCCCCACTACCGCACTTTAGGGAAGAGCAGTTCTACCGGTCTGCACAGTTTCTACGCAGCACTGTTTTGCACCGGGAGAGAGGTTGTTAAAAGCACCTACAGAATTGCTGGGGGCGGGTAGGGAGGAGGATATGCTCCCCCTCTCTCAGACAGCAGTTCCTAGAGAGACCCTGGGTAGCTCAGACTGAGGCCACTTTACTAAGCAGCAAGCGGGGTAGGGGCAGAGAATATGTCTCTTCCCTTCGCTGGTATCACTTTCCCCCTCCCGTGCTAACTTCGTGAGAAGAGGGGAACTCAGAGGAAGAGAGGTGGGGGAAAACTCTAATAAAGTCTAGTAGAAGTTTGCAAAATGCTGATCGCAGGCAGACAGCTTCTCACAGAGGACCAGGAAGAAACCATCTCGGGAGAGGGAAGCGTCCATTTCCCGCCTGCCAATGAAAAACACACAAAGTTGCAAATTTGAGGAAGGGGTAGGACTAGCCTTTTCTGGGGCAACCAGCTGCAGCTGCCGGCTACCGAGAGAGTGCTGGGGCAGCCCGCCGGCTCTGGGCGTCGGCAGCACGGCCGCCGGAGGCCAGGGGTGCATCCCGTGCCTCCGGGGCGGGCAGTGTCGCCGCGCGGCTCCCACCCCGCCCAGCCCGCAGCCACGACCTCCAGTCCTGCCCACACCTATCATTTGGAGCCATCTTCGCTCAGTCTTCCAAACATTCCGAGGGTTTTTGATTCCACTCGCCGCTTCTTCTTATTGAGTTCTCCGCGGTCTCCCTACAACTTGTCATAGCCTGTAATAAAATGCCCTTTCTGTCGGGAGTTAAAGTACAGAGGGCAGCGGTTCTATTTGCAACTGACAGCCGAGAAAAGGAGCTGCGGCAGCCTCGCTTTTGTCTGTCTGGGGCTTTAACTCCTGCAGGGCCGGCTACAGAGAACTAGCTGCTCCACAGGCAGCACCTCAGGTAGCGAACTAGCATCCCTAGACAGCCCGGGAGCAGAGATCTCAATCCTGACCTATGTCCCGCCCTGAATAAGGAGCTCGGTTGTGAGAAAGTTCTGGACCAACAAAACTGCCAACTATACTCTGTTGAGAAGCAGTCCTCAGATAAAGGACCCCTATTTTACTCTTTGGTCTGAGTGGGCTTGAGGAAGGACGTAAGGAAAGAAAAATGTTAAGTGATTCCTATGTCAGTATCCAGAGAGCTTTCACCTGGTTTAGTTACCAAACCGCTTCATCTATTTCTTCAGGGAGTCAAACTGTCCAAAAATTATTTCCATATCCCTGGGAACAAAGAAAGGAAGATTTGTGCACGAGTTTTGTGGCCCATCAGGTACCTGAAAAGATATGGTGTGGACAAGCCCTCTAAATCTCATCTGCTTCAGGAAGTGCTCAGCCTTTAGCCTGCATCCCCCCCCCCCCCCAGTTGGCAGTGTGTTCCACAAGGTACAGTCCCAGGCTGTCTTCAGTATTCACAGACCTGACCACAACTAATCTGATGCATTTAGGAAACCAAGCCACTTCTTACCTGGCCAACCCCTTCAGAAGTCACTCTAGGATACTCTAAGGGAGGGTGTTGGTGGGTTCCAGAGTCCCCCAGACATTGTGCGTGTGTCTTCAACACCTGAAGAGTTTAGGAAGTCGATGGGAGTAATACCACCTGGTGGGGGAGGAGAATTGGGAGCTCTGGTCAGTGAGGACAATTCAGACTGGGAGAGGGGAGGCAAACAAGAGTTTCTCAAACTACTTTACCATTTTACCTTTTGGGCAAAGGATGTGCTGGCCATACAGGGAGCATGTAGCAGGTGTTGCCCTGTCGTGGGTTTCTTCCCAACTTCTAGGTCCTCGCTCCAATCCCAGAACTCCTTTTCTGAGTTCCAAAGGGAGAGAGAGTGTGAGACTGCCTCCGTCCAGGAAAATAGCCCTTCCTCCCTCTGGCTTGCTGACTGGTCCTCATACCTTCTCATGTACAGTACATCCCTTACACACAGTGTACGTCTTACATACGATGTACATACAATGTGCATAAGTACATCTCTTTTGGCTGTCCCCATGGAGATAAACATGCCTGTCTGGCCCCCCTGTACCTCTCTATCTTCATATCCACCACACACTACCTTCTTCTAACTCTGTGAAGATACTAAGAACTTGAAATCAATAGTGTCAAAACCCAGGAAAGCTGAGAAATTGACCAGCTGACCTCCGCAGATGATTTTCTTCTAGAGGATGGGAAAGCCTGTGTCCTAAACTGATAACACCAAGAAACCAAAAGGATTCTGTTGAGAGTAGGAGTTATACAATATTCCTCAACAGAGAGTCCATTGTGCTTAGCTTGAAAGAGAGAGGGAGAGGGAGAGGGAGAGGGAGAGGGAGAGGGAGAGGGAGAGAGAGAGGGAGAGGGAGAGGGAGAGGGAGGGAGAGAGAGAGGGAGAGAGAGAGAGAGAGAGAGAGAGAGAGAGAGNAGAGAGAGAGAGAGAGAGAGAGAGAGAGAGAGAGAGAGAGAGAGAGAGAGAGAGAGATTTGAGCATTCCACATCAGAAGTGGCCTGTTAGAGGCAATGCAGAGCTGCAGTAGGGGAAAGTGTGCTGTCTCGGAAAACTTAAGCAGAAGTTTTTTAATCCCCTAAAGAAGGGGGAAACAGCAGCGTGGGGAAAAGCCGTACAGCACGCGGGCCACCTTGTCAGCTACAGTTCTCAGTTCTGTGTTTATCTCTCAAGTTTGATCTCTGGATCTCTAGTAAGGCTCTTGATGCAAACCCAAAGTGGTAGTTTGACATTCTTCCGCCAGCACCACCAGCTTTGTGTAGGTGACCGAAACTGTCCTTTCCTATCCTTAGGAAAAGTTAGAATTCTCTCCCCCACCCCAGGAGGCCAACTTTTACAGGAACCATTGTTCATTTAAAGCACTGGTTGGGACACTCAGGTCATAGCTGAAGATTTGGACAATAATACCCTTATTCTCCCAGTTAGCTGGTGGCTTCTATTCCAAATGAAGCTATTTGGGGACACGTAAAAGCCAGGAAATTTCCTGATGCACAATAGAAAATGACGCTGTCTGCCTTCTGCCTATTTCCACTCCAAAGTGAATCATGCCCCAGTTACCACCGGGCCTGACTTGATTTATCTTGGTTAATAGGATTAACGTGTCAGCCTTTCTCCAGAACTTCCAAGTGCATACCCGGAGTGTCACTGGCTGGCTGGTGTCTTCTCTCCTCTCTGATGGGCATAATGACACACCTACAAGCGGAGGGCCTTTGTCCACTGGGAGCAAGCAGATTATCCGTCTCCAGTGCAATAAGGCGCACGGTAGCCTCCTTTGCCAAGACTCAGAGCCAGAAGCCAGTCGCTATAAAATAATTGTGTCACTACCTCACCAGCACACTGGCCCTGCTTCATTTGTCTTTGGACTGTAATTGAACGGTTGAAGAGCAGGAACGTAGACAAATTCCAGCTGCATTGAGATCTGTTTCTTCCTCCGCTACCTCGGCCCATCATTAGATACTTTCCCTCCCTGTGCAGGAGGTCAGAGTGTATAAATATAAATTGCATTTTGCATTACTTCAAGATGAGTGAAGCTGTCAAAGCAATAATATGAGCTTTCAGTCCCACATTCTACCACTTCTTTCTCATTTTTTGGCCAGGAGGTCATGTGCAAATTGAACGTGACAACCCAGAAGACATGTCCAACAGACTCGTATTGTTACCCGGCTCAGCTGCCTGGCTCATGACAACATTAAACCCACATTAGTCCCCAGCCTCTGCCAGGCAGGGGCTCCCAAAGGCAGGGCCCAGGCTGCTCTGAAAGTTCACTTCGGTGGTGACATGTCATCTGCAAGTCATTGGCAGCAGTGACTGAAATATTTGCCGCGTAAGATTCGGGAGGATGTCCCATTACAAAGACCAGGACGGTGCTCTGTAGGGCAGAAAGCTGAGCACAAGGTGAAGAGCCAAAGAGGTCTGCAGCACGCAAATGTTAGAACACACACACATATCCACAAATGTGCACACACACATCCATGCAGTAGAGATACCCTTGATCCTGTCTGAAAATATGCATACTTTTCAGAATCCAACTGAAATGTGGTTGGACATAACTTTTGTTGCTATCTCCACAGGGAGAACATCATTTTGAAAGCCACCTGAAAACGCCCATGGACTTTAGCGTCTCATTAGCAACTCTGGCGACCTTTGATTATGAGATTCAATTCCAGAACAAAGATGAAGTCTCAGCCGCTCACAACACACGCCTAAGATGGTGGCTTGCCCCAAACTGCACTGTACTGAAGGGATATGAAACTATCAATTTCAAGGACATTGAAAGACTTGGAGGATCTGATCAGCAAGTATCTGTCTGCGTGACCCATTCGTGTCTTGCCCATATTGCAGCGAAGGGAGAACTGTTGTTCGCAGACAGGGTGTTTGATGGTTTCTAGGAAATGAGTGGCTGTTTCCATTCGTGTTCCAAATGGACAGGTGTCGACATCAGAATTCGCAACCTGGTTGGCAGACTCAGAGAGCGGCCAACGGACAAATTGGTTATGCAGAATAAACTTCCATCCCTCCCGTGACGACAGTGCATATGTGAGCACTGGCTGTAGGTGGGGCGGAGATGTGGAGATGCTGGGGCTGAAAGATTGATACAGGGTCCACTGAAGCCCTTTGATTCCAAGAGGCGCCATATGCAATGGCACTTCTGGAGCTCGCTGGGCTCTAAAGGCACGGATGAGAGTCACTTCACCTTCCATAGGAAGCACATATCAATCTCAACAAGTAAAATTAATCGAGCCGCCCGTCTGTGCAGACTCTGTTAAATGAGCCGCAGTCCCACACATCCCTTCTTTCTCAAAGAAAGTGTCCTTGTTTTTAATCCCCTTGAGTGAACTGGATATGTTTAAATATTGAGTGTGAGAACATGGTGTTGAAATAGGAGCGGCGGGGCTGAGTCCCCGGCACCCGGCTGCCCGCGTGGCTAGCTTATGCCCGAAATAATTACATGGAAACTGTATTCTTTCAAACACTGCCTGGCCCGGCTAGTTTCAGCTTCTTATTGGTTAGCTCTTACATATTGTTCTAACCCATTTCTAATATTCTGTGTAGCCCACGAGCTGGCTTACCAGGGAGGATCTTAACCTGCATCTGTCTGGAGCGGGAGAATCATGGCGACTCAATGACTCAGCTTCTTTTTCCCAGCATTCTCTTCTGTTTACTCCACCTACCTAATTTTCTGTCCTATGAGGGCCGAGGCAGTTTCTTTATTATTAACCAATGAAAGCAACAGATAAGATACAAGACCCACCTCCATCAACATGGCAACTGAGGCCCACACCTGGGAATATGGAATTCAAATGAGAATTCCTCCTTTGTTATTGATGGATATATATATTATCAAATACTACCTAAGGGTGACTTCTGGATTTGTGGAAGCTTCCATGTCTCCCATCATTTGTACTCTCATAACTCTTAGGATCCAGATGTCTGTGCTGAATTTTGCTTCTGGAATTAGCACACTATACAGTATGATGGTTGTGCGTAAGGAAAACAATACTATGGTAACTCAGGATCCAAAGTCTTGTCATAATTCATTTTTATTTTTGTTTTATTTTGCTGTGCTGTTTAGGAGAGAATCTCATGGAGCCCTGTCTAGTTTCAAACTCTCTGTACAGCTGAATCTGGCCTTGAACTCTTGGTCTTCCTACCTCCACCAGCTGAGTACTAAGATTCAAGGTGTGCACCACCACTCCCAGTTAACCTGGTAGCCTTTTGAAATTATCTACTTGTTTTATTGTATGAGTATAATGTGTGTGCACTGCACGTGTGCAAGAGCCCATAGAGACCAGAAGAGGGCATCAGATCCCCTGGAGCTGCCATATGGGTAGTGGAAACCAAACTCAGGTCCTCTGCAAGAGCTAACTGCTGAGCAATCTCTTCAGTCCCCTCATGTACTCTTATTGTCACACTTCTCCTGTCTCATAAATTAAGGCTGTTTTAACTTGAAAGGTGTTGATAACAATACTAGAAACACCTTTGATTGACTAAAGAACCAAGGTAGCCATGTGTTGACACTGAAAATATAGACGCATAACTGTGGACAGTTTTTTTCTGGGTGCCTACAGTCTTTTTATTACATGTATTTGTGTATGTGTGTGCGTGCACATGTTCACAGTCACAAGAAACATGGGCAGGCCAGAGAGCAACTTGGGGAAGTTGGTTCTCTCCTTACACCATGTAGGTTTCCAGGGATCAAACAGCTTTTCAAACTTGGTCACCAGTCTCTTAATCCACTGAACCATCTTGCCAGCACCTAACTATAGTTAAGCATGTCAAGCTTTTAATTACACCTTAAATCCCAGCACTTGGGAGGAATAAGGCAGGTGGGTCTCTGTGAGTTCAAAGTCAGCCTGGTCTAAATACTGAGCTCCAGGCCAGCCAGAGTTACAGTGAGACTTTGTATCAAAAAGCAAAGGTATAGATGTTTGAAATTTAAAGCCAATAATTTTCCAGTCACAAGTAGAATATAGGTCCACTTCTATATTTAAAGGCTTTGATAAAGCTAACCTGTATTCTTCATAAAAACTTCCCATTAGCCTTGAGTGGAAAATTGCACTCTCTAGCCTAAGAGTGCTGGTAGTTTTTAATTGATAAATTATTCAAAGATTCTTAAAGTCGTGTTTTCCAAAATCAGAGCAATTTCTCAGAGGCAAGTATAGTTATTGCTGCTACTCATGACAGTCACAACAAAACAATGAAGCTAGGACCTCCTTAAATATCATTATCTTCCCTGTGAAATGGAATTCCTGATTCCCAAAGTCAGATAAAGTGTATAAAGTATCCAGCACGGTGAGGACACTGGGACTTGCTGGCCTAGCCCCAG